AACGCCTGCAGCTAAATGCTCCCGCAGCTTGCGCACCTGAGGTGGGGAGAGGAGAGGATTGAGGGGGAATGGGGACATCTGAGTCCCCACGTCCTGCCACACCTGCCCCGCCTTCCCCAGCTCCGCCTTCTCTACCCCCCCATTCAGGTGCTCCTGCAGCTTGCGCACCTGAGGAGGGAGATACATGGGGCCGGGGGAGATTAAAGAAGAGGGTGGGGGGGGTGGTTAGGGGGTTTTGAGACATCTCCGCCCCACCTCCCGCCACACCTGCCCTGCCTTCCCCAGCTCCGCCTTCTCTACCCCCGCACCCAGGTGCTCCCTCAGCTTGTGCACCTGGGGGGGAAAGGAGAGGGTGGGGGGAGGGATGGGGGGATTTGAGACGTCTCCTGCCACACCTGCCCCGCCTTCCCCAGCTCCGCCTTCTCCACCCCAACATTCAGGTGCTCCCACAGCTTGCGCACCTGGGGAAAAGGTGGAGGGGGAGGGGGATTTGCGGAGAATCAGGTGAAGGGGCAAACAAGGAGGGATGGTGGTGTAAGGATTGGGGGAGTTTTGAGGCGCCTCAGAACACACCTACACCGCCCCCCCCTCAAAACACACCTCAGAGGCGCCTCAGAACACACCTACACCGCCTGCCCTGCCTCTGCCACCCACTCGTGCTGTGCCTCTACACATGCATGCACCCCCCCCCAGTTGCGCCTCCCTATGCACCTACCTACCTGCCAAGAAGTTCCATCTGCTTCGCAGCAGAAGATTTGCACCAACTGGAGCATTTCCGCCCAGCTCTCCTTGAATCTCCTTCATTCCCCTTGAATTTCATCAACCGAAATTGACTACCCTTGACTCCCCTTGTGATAGCCTCGATCCAACAGCTTGCACTTTTCGTGGTCTCCACTCACAACAACCAGGCAGTTAATATCCACAACCCCTTGTAATGTAATTTATCTCCACTCATCAGTTTGAGGTATTGAATGGCGGATCTCAGCAGCTCCATGGTGACGAAAAGGGCGGCCAGCTGACTTGTCGAGGTGACATTTGAGTCAACTATTGACTCTATTGTACTCGATTGTGGGACTTCTATATCGACTCAAAGCTCACCAGCTTGACTTGAGGTACAAAGTGACGGCTCTCAGCAGCTTGACTTGAGGTACAAAGTGACGGCTCTCAGCAGCTCCATGGTGTCGTAGAGCGCTCTGAGGCGCCTCAAATCAAAGTCTTCTCCGCTCACCTTGAAGTAGTTAAATTCCTACTCACCAGTTTGAGGTACTTGATCACAGCTCGCAGCAGTTCCATGGTGTCGTACAGAGCTGCCAGCTGACGTGTCTTCACCTGAATGGCCCGATACGGGTCTGCTATCTCTGCCCGCACGCGCTGAGGGTGGGGAGACAAAGAGCCCAAGCGAATTGTTTAGCGATTCGGTTAATAAATTCTGTTAGAAATCATATACATATTCTCAAGGCACAAGAGTGAGTGATAACAGAATTCCCCCTCCCTCTCCTCTCAGGATTCCCCCTCCTCTCCTCTCAGAAATCCCCGTCCTCTCCCTTGCACGATCTTGCTCATGGTCCTCTTCCATCCTTCACTCACTCATGCATTCATACGTGTTTTGAGTCGACTCAAAAACACGCCTCGATCTCGCTCATGGTCCTCTTCCATCCTTCACTCACTCATGCATTCATACGTTTTTGAGTTGACTCAAAACACACCTCGATCTCGCTCATGGTCCTCTTCCTTCCTTCACTCACTCATGCATTCATACACAGAAACGCACCTGGACGGAGGCTAGTAACGAGTCGACTCCAGCGCGCACCACAGACAGCACGCCCTCTGTGTCTTTTAACGAGGATAGCTGCTGCAGCAGGTCGTCATGATGCGTTGCCACCTCAGCCTGCACCTGCGCCTGCAGCGCAGATATCACCTCCCCCAGTTGAGCCGTGGTCAGCACAGATGAGCCTTCCTTTCCTCCTGCTGCCATGCTGTGTGCTAGGGCCTATAAGTGGGAAAGGGTAACGGGAAACGTAAGTTGGAGGAAAGGGGGAAGGTAGAAGGAAGTTGGGAAACAGCAGCTTATATATCACCTCCCCCAGTTGTACTGCTGTGAGCAAAGAATGTCAGGGGAGAGAAGGCGGAAAAGGAGAGATCATGAAGAAGATATCGCCGGCCTGAGTTGATCTGAACACATAAGAGCCTTCATCGTCAGAGCACATAAGATATCCCCCTCCTTAGATATTGTGCATCGTAAAGGCCTGTGGTGGTGTGATGTGATGGAGATTTCATGACATGTGGAAAGAATCACAAGTTTGGCTCTCAACCAATCACAATGTGCAGCCAAACGATCGTCCGCTACTATGCTCTCTGGAGATGTTGCGCAATCAAGAGGCGACTTGCAGTGCGTACTATCAATAACGAATCCACCTGCAGTGTACGAATGATTAGGAAGCACCCACCCGTTGAGACAACCGTGGCGCATAGACGTCTTTAAAGCAGCTCTTCAAACGTCTACATGCCGAAGCTGACAAACATCTACCTCTAAACCGGTTCTTCGAACGTTTTCAAACCGTACTGATGCATCTGCCTTATTTTCATATCTTCATGCGTCTACAAACGGTAACTAACAAGCACCTGCGCTTTTCTACAGTTGGCCTGCACGATGTCCTGAAGTTGCTCCGACCGCGTTTTGAGTCGACTCAGAAACAGGCTCAACATCCATACTAATTCCTGCTGCTGTTGTCACACGAACCTGCAATGCGTCGATGTCTTTAAGTTGCTCCAGCTGACGTGCCAGCTCATCGTTGCGCAAGACCCCCCCTTCCCGCGGGGAATGCGGAGACGCTTCCTCCTGCGCCTGCACGTTCCGCAATACCCCCTTTGCGGAGGCCATTGCGGCCGAACTTGCCGTGAAATGCGGACAGGCTACAAGGAGGATGAACAGACAACTGATCTGGCGGTTTGCGCGAGTCAGCTGTCTACAACATCAAGGTATTTCCGCCGGTCCCACTCTTTGGATATGACGACGTTCCGCAGAATACGGAATCCAGAAAACCAGTACGTCAGTAGTTCCGCTCAGGAGAAGCGTAGAAATGTGTCGGTGCCAGATCAACTGCAAGAATTCCGGAAAAACACACTCACAGGTGCTTCAATACAGCACCATGTAATGTGCGTGCGCACTTCATTTCTACAGCCTTAGTTTTCACCAGTTTTCATAATTTATCGCTTAACAAGATCACAAATGTTCCAAGGCCCCTTCTCTGACTAAAATGCGTGTCATGCCCTACGCGGTATCATGAAAAATCAACTTCCCTACAAATCATAATATAAAATAAACACAATAATTTTGTTTACCATCCTTCAGGTTCCCGCATCTGCATACTGTTAAGTCAACCTGTTTCTTTGTGCCCGCTTTTTAGCATTAGGTGAGAGACATTGTTTGCTTTCAGGCTTTCAAACATTTAATTGTAATGCCCTTTATTGATACGTGTCTTAGTTCTGCGCTATGTAAGGAAAATCCATTTTCCTTACTTCGCATCCCTGCTCAACGCGTACATCACTGTAGCACCTCAGTCAGCACCGTTACCACTCGCGATCCTCGCATCTACAATCATCCCGCCATCTTCGCACATTGCACCCCGACCTCACGGCTCGGCTGGTAACCCGCGCTCCGGGCCTCCGCTTCGACACTTTCCCAACCTCAGTCCCAGGCTCGTCGCACGACAACCACAGTCCATTACCGTTACCACTGTAGTTTCGCTATATATTCTTCGCTCATGCCTTTGCTCATTGGATTCTTGCTTCGATAGTGCAATTCTCGTTCGTTCACTCAATTGCACTCGTAACACGCTACAAGATCCTACGTCTTTTGCGGGTTGGTACTAGCATCGTGAAAGCCTCGGGTTTGCACATTGAATTTGTTACGAGTGCAATTGAGTGAACGAACGAGAATTGCACTATCGAAGCAAAGAGTACAATGAGCGAAGGCATGAGCGAAGGATTTATATAGCGAAACAATAGTGGTAACGGTAATGGACTGTGGTTGTCGCGCGACGAGCCTGGGGCTGAGGTTGGGAAAGTGTCGAAGCGTAGGCCCGGAGCGCGGGTTACCAGCCGAGCCGTGAGGTCGGGATGCGATGTGCGAAGAGGGCGGGATAATGAATGATGCGATGGTCGTGAGTGGTAACGGTGCTGACTGAGGTGCTACAGTGGCGTACGCGTTGAGCAGGGACGCGAAGTAAGGAAAAGGGAATTTCCTTACACTACCCCCCTCCCAAGGAGGCCCCTCTTACGAGAGCGCATGGATGTCGCGGAAATTTCGGCTTCGCAGATACTCGGGGAAGACAGGGTGGTTCTCAATTTTATCCAGGGGGACCCAGTTGTCTTCTGTGGGCGTTCGGTCCTTCCAGCGAATTAGGAACTCTATCCTTCGGGCTCCCCGAGGGTCGCGGACTCGGTGGCTGAGGATTTTCTCAGGGGTGATGAGTGGTTCGGTTGGGGGACGTGTCATGCTAGCTGGGCGATTTCGTGGCAGTTGGCTCGTGGATGGGATGTAAGGGCGAAGTAGGCTGACGTGGAATGACGGGCTGACGTACCAGTCAGCAGGGAGGAGGAGGTGGGCGGTGACGGGTGTGATCATGTGGCTGATGCGGAATGGCCCACAATACCGGGGGCGAAGTTTTGGAGTGATGGGCAGGCGAAGATTCTGAGTGTCGAGTAATACGAGGTCGTCGGGCTGATAAGTAACGGGTCTGCGATGTCGATCGGCGTTACGTTTAGCGATGATGTTTGATTTTTTGATTGCTTCTGCTGCCCTGGTCCGTGCTGCTTGCAGAATCTCGGCGAACTGTTGTGCTCGTGGGACTGGGTTGTCGGGATTCGGTGTCATGGGTACTGTTGGGTCCTGTCCGTAATTCAAATAAAACGGCGACTGTTGCGTCGTGGCTGATGGTGCGTTATTGTATGCGAACTCGATGAGTGGCAGCTGCTGTTCCCACGTATTCGGGTCGTCGCACGTGGCTCGAATCAGCTGCTCCATGGTCTGATTTGTCCGTTCCGTCTGTCCGTCGGTTTCGGGGTGATAGGATGAACTGAACTGTAAGCGCGTGCCGAACTGCTGCCACAGGTTCCGCCAGAAGTTGCTGGTAAATTTCGTGTCCCTGTCGCTGATGATCGACGCGGGTATCCCGTGCAGTCGTACGACGGTGGCGATGAATAGTCGGGCGGTTTCTTCGGCTCTGATGGATTTCCTGCATGCTGCGAAATGAGCCATTTTCGTTAGTCGATCGACGACGACCAGGATCGCGTCATTCCCACTCGCCCCAGCTGGTAACCCCGTGACGAAGTCCATCGTCACCTGCTGCCAAGCACGCTCTGGAGGCGGGATGGGGTTGTAATTGCCCCGCTGGTCGCTTCCTGCTTGACTTCATGAGCTGGCAAGTGGGACACGATGCCACGTGTCGTTGCACATCGGTCAACATTTCTGGCCAGTAGTAGTACCGCTGCAGCTGCTGCCGTGTTTTTTCTACCCCGAAATGTCCCGAGGTAACTCTGTTGTGTGCTTCCTGTAACAGTAGTTCCCACAGTAGCGTGTATCCCGGTACCCAGATGCGGTCGGTTCCAGTTTTTACGTAATAGACTCATTTTGCCGCTGCGAATTGCTGTGAGTTGCCTCCTGTAAAGAACGGGTCTGTTTGATATCCGTGGGTAAATAGGCCGGTAAGCAGTGGGCTGGTCTGGGCGAGTAGTATCGCGTGGATCTGGGCAGTGGGGCGGGTCAGTGCGTCGGCGATATTCGATGCTCCTTTTTTGTATGTGACCGTATAGTGAAAATTCGACTCGAGGAAATCGAGCCATCGAATCTGTCGTGGGTTGAGGTGGGGCTGTGCGCGGAGGTACTGTAGAGATCGGTGGTCTGTCCGTACTGTCACGTCTGCGCCAGTCAAGTAGCAGCGCCAAACTTTGAATGCATGCACGATCGCGAGCATTTCGCGGTCGTGTATCGGGTAATTTCGCTCAGGCGGATGTAGTTTGCGTGATTCGTAGGCGATGGGTTGGAGGCCGTTGCCGAAGTCCTGTAACAGTACAGCTCCGATGGCGATGTCACTTGCGTCGGTAACCACTTCGAAAGGGCGGTGGGGATCAGCGATACGTAGAACGGGTGGTGAACAGAGGACGTTTTTTAGGGCAGAGAAGGCAGCATGCTCTTTCTCCCCCCACGTAAAAGCGACCCCCTTACGCAGTAAATCAGTTAGTGGGGCTGTTAAACGTGCCATGTCGGGCACGAACCGTCGAACGTAATTAACAAACCCTAAAAAACTCTGCAGTTCCGTGATGTTCGTCGGGGGGCGCCATGCTTTTACCGTATCCAGCTTCTTTGGGTCGATCTCAACCCCAGCCTCGGAAATGACGTGACCTAAAAACTCTAGCCTATCCCTAAAAAACTCGCACTTGGAGCCCTTGGTGAGCAGCCGATGTTCCTCTAAAACCTTAAAAACTGCTTCAAGATCTGCTAAGTGTTGCTGCTTATCCCGACTGTAAACGAGGATATCGTCGAGGTAAACGATCACGCATTTATCTAAAAGTGGTCTAAACGCCTCGTTCATGGTCATCTGAAAAGTCGCAGGCGCGTTCGTCAACCCGAAAGGCATTACTGTATACTCGAATGACCCGTACCTAGTCCTAAATGCTGTTTTTGCGCAGTCCGATGGTTCGACCCGAATCTGATGGTAACCTCCCCGTAAATCTATTTTCGAAAAAGACACGTGCTGTTCGCAGTTGGTCAATCAGTTCGTCGGCGCGGGGGATGGGGTATCGCGATTTGACTGTTACTCGGTTAAGCGCTCGGTAGTCGATGCACATGCGAAAAACCTCCGTCTTTTTTCGGTGTGAACAGTATGGGTGCGGCGAACGGTGACGAGCTTGGTCGAATAAACTGCTTCTCTAACAGGTAATCTAACTGCTTCCTTAACTCGTCGAGCTCGGGCTGTGTCAGTCGAAATTGCCGTTGTACTGTTGGCTGTTGCCCCCGGTTCTAGCTCGATCCTATGGTCGTGCGCTCGCTGAGGTGGCAGTCCCTGTGGTAAATCATCCGGAAATATCCCCGGGAACCGTTTCAGTAGTGCCTGTAATTCGGTCGGTACGGCTGCTAGCAGTTTCTTTAAATCATTCTGCTGCTCCGTCTTTTTCTACCACTGCGATATCCACTGCGTACACGTCAGCTCCAGCGGCGACAGCCCGTTTCATCGTGATGGCGTTGACCTGGACTGTCGAAGATTCGGGTGGCCGCCAGCGAGGTTTAGGACGACCAGTTACCGCTACTTCGCACTGTGCAGCTCCCCGTCGTCCAGTCGATCCGTGGGTTTGTACCGTCGCAGCCAATCACGTCCCAGTAAAATGTCGTGCCCATCCAGCGTCGTTGCGAGCATTTCCTGTGTAAACCCGAAGTTTTCCCCCGCAGCGGACTTTTACTCGCTTTCTCGTATGGCCAATGGCGTGCCGTCGACTAAGCGTGCATCTATCTCAGGTAAACATCGGTTAAGTATTAACTGTAATCTCGTGCGGTTGCAAGTATTAACTAAGCTGTGACTTGCCCCTCCGTCAATGAAGATTTTCACTGCTGCTCCCTGTATTTTCCCGTAGATCAGTACCGGGCAATCCGTCGCTGTACCCTCCTTATTCATCCGAGCCCGATCGATGGCGTGAATCGGTACTGTGACTCGGTGAGGGTCGGTGTGGTTGGGCGAGCAAGCAGTCTCGTCAGTAGTTGGCCCAACTTCTACTGACTGCTGGCGTTTCCCTGCCTCCGAGACTCCTTCCCTTGCTCTGCTCCTCGACGCCTCAGCTCCTCTGGACATTCGCTTTTGCGATGGCCCGGCCGGTTTGCAAGCAAAGCAGCGCCCTCTAAATGGCGTGGCAGCTGCATTCGTTGCGACGGCATGTACAGTGGCGTGCTCGATCGGTCCCCGAGGACGATGTCCGAAATAGGACCCCGGTCCTCGGTCGGCGTAGGATATCGATTTTCTCGGCGAGCGCGAGGATTTCGTGAAATTCGATAGCCCGCGTAGCATTATCTCGTGCGATATGTCCGGCTTCAGCCCTCCGACGTAACGGTCCACCCGCTCCGCCTCGTGCATGTAGCCGACCTGTTCGCAAAGTGCGAGAAAACCGCTGGTGTAGTCTTGAACCGACCCGAGCTGGCGCCAAGTGCGCAGTTTCTGACGCGCCGAAATCGAAGCCGCGATCGGCTCAAACGCGCCCGAAGCCCTGCGCACCACGCATCCCACGTTGCTGTATTGGCTGTTTCGCAGGACGAACTCCATGTGACAGCTGGACCCGAGGGCCCTTCCTCGTGCGACGGTGGCTCGTAGGCGCGTGGCGACGTCACGATGACTCGCCACCAGTCCATGGCGGGGCCCCTGAGTAGTGAAACCGCATACCGAATCTTAGCGGCGTCCGACTCGACGTAGTTGGCGTCGAAAAACACATTCATCGTGAAGACCCACGATTGAACTGTCGGGCCGCCGCGTTGGCTTGGGTCGAAGCAGGGCGGGCGTTTGCGGCTTGAGTGGCATTGGGGCCATCATGGCGTTTTCACCACTTGTCGTCGCAAACTCCACGTGCCGACGGGCTTCTCGGGGCTCCCGTGGGCTTAGCGTGCTCCTGTTCCCTCCCATGCCGGGCATCGGTTGGGCTGCGCCGTCACTGGCTGCGCCTGAGCGCTGTCCCGTGCTGTTGTGTTGCGTTGGTGTGCCGGATGAAATGATAATCGGCTCCTCCGAATGTACAGAGACATTGGTTGGTGCGTGGGATGTTTGTCGGAGCATTCACCGTTGACTGTTGACGAGCGGAGTCACGTTCCGCCGTGAGCGTCGCGATTTCAAGCGCCGAATCCTCCAATTGTCGCACGAGACGATCGAGTTGCTCCTGCGTCAACGTGGCGAGATTGAGGTCGGCCATGGCGGGGGTGTCGGGCAAGCTCAGCGAGAGCCTCGGTCGTGGCCGTGCGTGCTTGCGAGAGAGCACTACGAGCGGCGGTGCTGTGTCGCTGAGAGACGTCTACCCCCCCCAAAAATTGAGATAGGGGGAAGCGAAGGTGTGGATGCGGTCCGAGATGAGATCGTAGGCTCTGATTACCAAGTGTTACGAGTGCAATTGAGTGAACGAACGAGAATTGCACTATCGAAGCAAAGAGTACAATGAGCGAAGGCATGAGCGAAGGATTATATAGCGAAACAATAGTGGTAACGGTAATGGACTGTGGTTGTCGCGCGACGAGCCTGGGGCTGAGGTTGGGAAAGTGTCGAAGCGTAGGCCCGGAGCGCGGGTTACCAGCCGAGCCGTGAGGTCGGGATGCGATGTGCGAAGAGGGCGGGATAATGAATGATGCGATGGTCGTGAGTGGTAACGGTGCTGACTGAGGTGCTACAGTGGCGTACGCGTTGAGCAGGGACGCGAAGTAAGGAAAAGGGAATTTCCTTACAGAATTCCACCTTGTACCGAAGACACATCTCCCTGCACTTGCCAATCCGTCCAAACTCTCCTACATCGAAGAGGATTGCGGTTGGCGTGTGGCGCAGGTTGCAACTCCAAATCCTCTTCGTTGATAGGCAGGACAGCATACCAAGTGCACACTACCATGAAAGGCAGGAAACTGGAACAAGGGAATTGTTAAAATGTGCGGCTTGGGTGCGAGACTGGAGCCACAAACAGATCAGACGTGGCAGGCAATCCGACATGGAGATACACCATGTGGATCATCCACATCACCCCCTCTCACCACACATCGGCAAGATCAATGCAAGTGCGAGCCGCACCGAACCCAAAATACAGTAGCTTCAAAATACCCCCCTCAGAAAGGCTCACACCAACAAGGCCAGGATTTCAAGCGAGATTCTGAATTTCACGACTCAACACCCCTGCGACCAGAACAGCTGGCGCAAAGACCAGGGAACTAATTCTGAACCAACGCAGAAGACAGCATATATAAACACCAAAATGACAATAACAACCTAACATTGACATTTATCTCACGTCACAGCTTCAGTCGACGTCGTTCATCGCCTTTGGAACACTCCTTTTATTCAGAGCGTTTACACGACTCTCCGACACAATGGCTGCGACTCTCTCCTCTTCGGCGTCCGCCTCCCTTCGCTCCTTCTCTATCCCAGAGGGAAGCAGCCTCTCCTCTTCCTCCCGCGCGGCAATCCCTGGGTTCTCCGGCCTCAAGGCCCAGAAGGCCCTTTCCGCCTCTGCCGCTCAAACATGCACCCTGCATGACGTGCGCGAAATGCGGTAACGGTCGCACAAGCGTCGTCGCCATGGCCAGCGCCGACAACCAGTTCGCGAGCGTCTCCCAGTCCACCGCCGCTCCCGCCGCTCCTGCCGCCACCGCCCTCCTCCCCGCCATCGTCGGCGCCGGCGCTCTGGGCGCCGCGACCTACGTCGCCGTGAAGAAGCTCACCGCGTCTCCCGCCGCCGCTCCCGCCGCACCCGCCCCCTCCTCTCCCGCGGTAACCAGCGTCCCGCCCAGCGGCATCGTCCCGCGCGCAAAGCACGCGGCGGCGTCCGCTCTGACGACGATGGCGACGACGTTCCCGTCGGCGATGCAGGAGGAGGCGTTCCTGAAGGCCGTGGCAGTGGAGCTGGCGAAGCTGGGGTTCCGCAAGGACAACGGCATCGCGCTGGTGAACACGTGCCGCGACGAGGTGTGCCGGCCCGTGGTGAGCATCATCGACCGCGAATTCGGGCTGAGCTTCAACATCTCGGGGCTGGGCGGGCTCGTCAACTGCGGCAAGGTCGGCTTCGGAGCTGCCATGAGCCACTCGCCCGAGTTCCCCTGCGACGTCGACGGCAACCTGAAGGAGCGATGTAAGTTTTGGTCTAATTTGGGTTATCATAATCTGGAAGTATTTCAAATGATATTGTCTTTCCAGTTCGACATTTTCCCGTATTCATCAACCTCGTTAATCTTTTTCCAATTTCGCTGCTTGCGACATCCGTCGTTCTTTCACTAATTACCCTTCTATTTATGTTCTGTATCCTTTTCCCAGACATCTTCTTCGCGTTCCCGCACGTGTCCATCGGCGAGTCGGGCGAGGTGGGGTCTCTGCTGCGTCGCGGTCGCGGCAAGCCGTCGAGCGCGTGCGGAGCGTTGATCGCCATCAACAACGACATCAACAACGGCGTGGCGCCCAGCATGGACAGCGACGACCCGAGTACACGCTGCTGCGCAAGAAGATCATGGCCAAGGTAAGCAAACGTTAATAAAGAAAACAATTGTTTCTTAATTCATTGCAATCAGCACTAACCATTGATGAGCGTAGAAATGAAGGTCAAGTTGTAAACTTCTGCCACGAAAGCTAGAAACTAATCATTTCCCGTTTCTGAATTTCCCGCCTCCGAATCTCGCCTCGCAGGTTTCGGGCGGCAACAAGTCGCTGGTGGACGTGACGCGCGCGGCGCTGGCGGCGATCAACGAGGACTTGGAGAAGCTCATCTCGCTCACGGTGAATCCCGAGACGGCGGACTACGCCGTCATCACGGGCGTGCAGATCACTCAGGCGATCAGATTCCCGGCCAGCCCTTCCGCATCGAGCGCACCTGCGACTACATCGCGCCCGACAAGATGTACGCCGTGGTTCGCGGCCAGAAGTACGAGCTCAAGGTGGAGACGCCCAAGTCGCAAGGCGTCGCCGCCATGGTTTAGTGTTCCGGCGTCACGTTAATGATATGCAGTGACTGCAGTGCACTTATCGTGTTTTCGCTTCTAAGAAGCGTTCTGCCAATTAAATTGTACATGTGTCTCTAAGTAATATAATCGCCCTCATTGCGAACATAGCATCAAGCGGAACTCCCATATGGAACTGGGGTTTTAACAGTATGCCATCTGTTGTATGCAGAATCATAAGAAGAAAAATAAACGCTGGTGAACAAGAGGTTTTTGGAAAGAATGGTGAAAGCAACTTTATTCTACCTTTTGTTGATAATATGGCGCTTTATATTCAGTACGTTACCCCAATAAATCATCACGCTGAGATTTTTCTAGCATTTGAATCCCTTTCTATCCCATTCCACTGCATCATATTTCAGCCCACTGCAACTCGCTGTCGCAGATGCGCTTTCCAATTTCTGATTTCAATAACTTATCGTTGGCATCTCGATGGTCAACGATTTCCTCGTGCTTCTCACCATGGCAAGAACGGCATTACAATAGCCTAAGTCTTTTCTTCCTCACCCCCACTTTCGAACATGGCTGTGCTATCGCTTCTGAAAAACAAGCGTCGCGTTTAGATTTACAATCAACACCTGCAGCTAAACTGCCATGGCTTGGTGAAACTGAACGTAAGCATTAGGGCGACGTCAGGTTGTACAACTTTTTGAACGCCCCTGCGGTTAACTTTGTTTCAACACGGTGCAGAGCGGTAAGCGCCAAAACCGCTTTCCACCGTTTTTGACCCGTCTTGAACTACGATACAAGAACTGTATACCCATGAGAAATGTATAACCTGACGTCGCCCTTAGGACGCGGTAAAAGTGGAGAATCGATCGCCTCAAGTTCGTTTTTCAGCACGGTTATAAACGGTTGTCTATCTTTTGTATAAAAAATGCGAGGTTTCAGTGCGTTGACCGGATCAATTTCCCCCCAATCTAGCACTTTAACCGCGTCCTTAGCCTTGAACCGACATGTTAGTTCCCATGCAGTCTCAATGACTGCCCAATCACAACGCATGTTACCGCGTCCTTAGCCTTGAACCGACATGTTAGTTCCCATACAGTTTCAATGACTGCCCAATCACAACGCATGATTGAGGATCAGTAAAAAACTGATTGACACATTCATTCAACCTAACGCTTTATTAAAGAAAATAAAAACATGAAGTGAGTCTTCTTTATTTAGCAATAAATTTCTTCAAACCATGGCGGCGACGCCTTGCGACTTGGGCGTTTCCACCGTGAACTCGTACTTCTGGCCGCGCACCACGGCGTACATCTTGTCGGGCGCGATGTAGTCGCAGGTGCGCTCGATGCGGAAGGGCTGGCCGGGAATCTGATCGCCTGAGTGGATCTGCACGCCCGTGATGACGGCGTAGTCCGCCGTGGCGGGGTTCACCGTGAGCGAGATGAGCTTCTCCAAGTCCTCGTTGATCGCCGCCAGCGCCGCGCGCGTCACGTCCACCAGCGACTGGTTGCCGCCCGGCGACACCTGCGGGGCGAGATGAGGAGGCGGGATCAAATGTGCGAGGTTTTAATTCCAAGTCTTTATGGCTAACCATTAGCTCTTCATGTTTATTTCTTGTGTTAATGGCCCTGAAACGAGGCAGTTTTTAAATTACGAACGTGTTCGTACCTTGGCCATGATCTTCTTGCGCAGCAGCGTGTACTCGGGGTCGTCACTGTCCATGCTGGGCGCCACGCCGTTGTTGATGTCGTTGTTGATGGCGATCAACGCGCCGCACGCGCTCGACGGCTTGCCGCGACCGCGACGCAGCAGAGACCCCACCTCGCCGGACTCACCGATGGACACGTGCGGGAACGCAAAGAAGATGTCTGCAGGGAGGAAACACAGACAGAAGTAAATTAGAGGGTTAATCAGTGAAAGGGCACAGCTCAGCTGGGTATGCGATCGGGTACAATAACAGGAGAAGTGGGCAGCAATATGAGGAAACGCGACTGGAAGGCTCGTAGTGGCAAACAGGAAAATCAGCACTATGTATGTATTGAGAGCCCAAACGTACATCTCTCCTTGAGGTTGCCGTCGACGTCGCAGGGGAACTCGGGCGAGTGGCTCATGGCAGCTCCGAAGCCGACCTTGCCGCAGTTGACGAGCCCGCCCAGCCCCGAGATGTTGAAGCTCAGCCCGAATTCGCGGTCGATGATGCTCACCACGGGCCGGCACACCTCGTCGCGGCACGTGTTCACCAGCGCGATGCCGTTGTCCTTGCGGAACCCCAGCTTCGCCAGCTCCACTGCCACGGCCTTCAGGAAGGCCTCCTCCTGCATCGCCGACGGGAACGTCGTCGCCATCGTCGCCAGAGCGGACGCCGCCGCGTGCTTCGCGCGCGGGACGATACCGCTGGGCGGCGCGGGTGTTGAGGCGGGGGCGGAGGCGGCGGCGGCGGGTGCGGCGGGTGCGGCGGGAGCGGCGGCGGGAGATGCGGTGAGCTTCTTCACGGCGACGTAGGTTGCGGCGCCAAGAGCACCGGCGCCGACGATGGCGGGAAGGAGGGCGGTGGCGGCAGGAGCGGCGGGAGCGGCGGTGGACTGAGAGACGCTCGCGAACTGGTTGTCGGCGCTGACCATGGTGACGACGCTTGTGCGACCGTTACCGCATTTCGCGCACGTCATGCAGGTGCATGTTTGAGCGGCAGAGGCGGAAAGGGCCTTCTGGGCCTTGAGGCCGGAGAACCCAGGGATTGCCGCGCGGGAGGAAGAGGGGAGGGTTGTACCCTCTGGGATCGAGAGGGAGCGAAGGGTGGCGGATGCCGAGGAAGAGAGAGTCGCGGCCATTGTGTGAGAGCGTCGTGACAAGAAGGCGCCTTAAAATGCGGGAGTATGTACAGAAGCGCTTTGGTCAGCGACGCTAGACGGAATGTGTGAATTGGATTGAGCAAAATGTCGGAGTGGTATTATATGCTGTCAAGCAATTAGGTGTTGCAACCTGCCCCCAGTATTCCAGGTATGAATTGAGGAGGCACTGACAAAATTTGGCGACTTGTTCCGAATTTCGTCCAGGAATCTGGCATTCGCAGGGGTGATCAATGTTTTGAAGAGAGGGGGGTTGAAGTGGGAAATTCTGATAGGCTTTGATGAGCGGTTCCAGCCTTGCTTGCCGATGAGTGGTTTGATGAGTGACGCACATTGGAATTCCAGCTCGGAGGCGTGGCCACGTCGGATGGGGGAAAAAGAAGTGGCTCCAAACAGAACTGGTTCTCGTGGTGCGACTTGTGACATTTCCCCTTTCCAATTTGCCGCATTTCAGGGTGGTGTGGAGATTGGTGTCGTGCCCTATCAAAGGAGAGGATTTGGCTTGAATGAACCACGGAGACTGGGACATATTCCTCGTCAGGTGTTTCAGAGTGGAAAATGTTCGCAATATAGAGAAACTCCTCCCGTCGCATCTCTGTCGGTATTGTGAGAAATTCCAAAAGTTATGTCATTGTATGGGCTACTTGTGCATCTTGCAAGCACAAACAAACATCATTCCCGTCGCATCACCGCTACACTCTTCCATGAACCATGGTGAAAGGAAAATTGGTGTAAATAGAACACACAAACATTGGTCATGTGGAGCTGTGCAATGTCAGCAGCTGTCTAAGGAGGACACGGACATCAATGGATGTTCAATCTATCACATTTGCTAGCAGATGACACTGAAAAAGATGTTGAGAATGAGTTAGGTTACATTCCTGCGGGGACATTTGTCTCACAACAATCCCAATTTTCACCCCTGGTACCCCTCTGTACCGAATCAAAATTGGGATTGTGACACAACTGTCCCCGGAATGTACCTTAAGCATCTATGCAGTCAAGAGTAACTTCGCATATTCTGTCTTTATAACCTGTTCTTTCACTACTCACGATTCACAAGTACAAGCTGAGGTCAATCTTCTCGCCTGTTAGATGCGATACGAGCGCTGCGCCCAAAGAGTAGAGGGGCAAGCACAGACAGGGACATGCATGCAGCGTTGAGAGCATGAGGAGCATGAGGCAAGCACAGACAGGGACATGCGTGCAGCGGCAAGGGCATAAGGAGTACGAGGCAAGCACGAATAGGGACATGCATGCAGCGGCAAGGGCATAAGGAGTATGAGGCAAGCACAGACAGGGACATGCATGCAGCGTTGAGAGCATGAGGAGCATGAGGCAAGCACAGACAGGGACATGCGTGCAGCGGCAAGGGCATAAGGAGTACGAGGCAAGCACGAATAGGGACATGCATGCAGCGGCAAGGGCATAAGGAGTATGAGGCAAGCACAGACAGGGACATGCATGCAGCAGCAGGGGTATAAGGATTACGAGACAAGCACGAATAGGGACATGCATGCAGCGTTGAGAGCATGAGGAGCATGAGGCAAGCACAGACAGGGACCAGCAGCAATGTCTACTCCATGCTCTGATTGACGGCAAAATGTTTTCTTTTTGTTCGTTCTTGCCCCTTAGGAAGGAAGGGCGCCGGCAGCAATACCCCTGCAAGATAGCAATACCCAATCGATGCACTGCAGATTCACGTTGTTTATCCCATGGCTGCAATCTGTACAAATGTGGGAGAGCCAAATCAAACGTACCTTGGCTGTAGTCCTTACAATCGTTAGGAAACACCATCAGCAAATCAAGTGTGCAACGTGGCATTTCGTGATTAGGCGTCATTTTACGTACGTACCTTGGCTGTAGTCTCTGCAATCGTTGGAGAAAACCGTGAGGTCAGTGCGCCACGTGGCGTTGAACGATTGGACAGCATCGAGCGTGTCAGAGTGAGCAGACGAGCCGATGCACCAGCAGCGGCGGGAGGGGAGGGAGGAGAGCGGGCGTATTAGCAGATAACCTGGAAATCGAGGGACAGTGGGATGGTGAGAGGGAGGGAAACGGAGCAATGGGGCAATCTGACCCAGCCAGCAGACGAGCCGACGCACCAGCAGCGGCGGGAGGGGAGGGAGGAGAGCGGACAAATGAGCATATAGCCTGGAAATGGCGGGACAGTAGGATGGCAAGAGGGAGGGAAACGGAGTAAGGGGGATTTTTGACAGCGCGAGCAGACGAGCCAACACACCAGCAGGGGAACGAAGGCAGGGTGGGGAACAGTGGTCAAACGAGCAGGCAGTCTGGGGGGCGTTAGGAGGGAGGAAGGAGGGAAGTGAAGTGGCAGATGCAAGTGCATGAACGAGTTTATAGCCTGACGGCAATCGGCAGGGAGAGGGGGGGAAGCATGGGACATGGCATGGGACATGGGACATGGGATGAGGCATGGATGGCATGGGACACAGCATGGGACATGGCATGGGGCATGTGGGCACCTGGCAGCCAACCACGTGGCACAGGTGCAGTGCATGGATGGAACATGGTAACCCATGGCATGTCGCATGTGGGCAAGACATGGGAAAAGGCAAGGCATGGGAAAAGGCAAGGCATGGGAAAAGGCAAGGCATGGGAAAAGGCAAGGCATGGAAAAAGGCAAGGCATGGAAAAGGCAAGGCATGGAAAAAGGCAAGGCATGTGAAAAGGCAAGGCATGTGACAGATGCAGATTCTACCCACCAACCAGGCGCAGGCTGCAGCTGTCACCCACCCACGCACTCACACATACACACACCCACCCACACACACACCCACGCACTCACACACTCACCCACGCACTCACACACCCACCCGCCCACTCACCCACTCACTCACCCACCCACCCACCCACCCACCCACCCAACCAACCAACCACCAGGCACAGGCTGCAGCGCCAACACTCTGAGAGGCACTCCCATGTCCTGCTAGCTCCCACCCGCCCACGCATGCACCCACCTACCCGCCAGTACCACTGACTGAGAACAGCACAACCCACCCACCCACCCACCCACCCACCCACCCACCCACCCACCCACCCACCCACCCACCCACCCACCCACCCACCCACCCACCCACCCACCCACCCACCCACCCACCCACCCACCCACCCACCCAGGCCATGCACACAACTCACCAGGCACAGGCTGCAGCGCCTTTTGAGACGTCTCAAAAGTCGCACACGACTCACCAGGCACAGGCTGCAGCGACTTTTGAGACATCTCAAAAGTCGCACACAACTCACCAGGCACAGGCTGCAGCGCCAGCACTCTGAGAGCCACTCCCATGTCCTGTGGGTCATCCGGCCTGAAGTCAAACAGGTAGCACTGGAGGGAGGGGGGAGGTGGGGGAGGAGGAAGGGGGAAGGGGGAAGGAAGAGGAGAAGAACGTGTGTAGAGAACAACAGGCTTAAAACCCGAAACCCCAAACAGGCTTAAAGCCAGGGTGCACTGCACTTCACCTGGGTGGGCATCAGCGGTTAACCTTTGATGCCCACAATACGGTCAATTTTTTTTTGTTCCCCATCCCCCGCGATTTTTTTATGTGCACCCCGGCCTGAAGTAAAAGAGGTGATCACGAAATCTCAAATCCCATATCTCGCAGGTTATCCAGCCTGACGTAAAAGAGGTAGCACTGGGGGGAGGGGAGGAGGAAAGGAGGGGAAAGGTGGGCGGGAACAACTGAGGGCCTTCACCCCCTTTGGGTCATGTGAGTGCCACCTGCATGTTCTGTGGGTCATCCGGCCTCAAGTCAAAGAGGTAGCGCTAGGGGGAGGGAGGGGGGAGGAGCGCGGAAGGGGAGAGGGGAGAAGGAGAGCAGAGGAAGGCGAGGTGAAGGAGGAAATGATATTTTGTTATCATTTCCAGTGCTCGCCCACCTTTCCAGGAAATAAGAGCAGAGCAGATCAGAGCTGAGCAGAGCAGAGATGAGCAGAGCTGAGCAGAGCAGAGCAGAGCAGAGCAGAGCAGAGCAGAGCAGAGCAGAGCAGAGCAGAGCAGAGCAGAGCTGAGCTGAGCTGAGCTGAGCTCCAGTATCTCCTCTCCAGTGCCTTCTACTGAAAGGCTGTTCATACAGCCTTTAAGAAGTGTTTTGAGACGTCTCAAAACACTTCTTCAAACACGTGGCTATTCTTCTACTGAAAGGCTGTTCATACAGCCTTTAAGTAAAAGAGGCAGGACTGGGGAGAGGGCGGAGGAGGGGTACGGAGGAGGGCAGAGGAGGAAGGCCTCAACATCTCAAAGGCTGGGGAGGGAGGAGAGAATGGGAGGAGAGAATGGGAGGAGAGAATGGGATGAGAGAATGGGAGGAGAGAATGGGAGGAGAGAATGGGAGAAGGGGGAGGAGGAGGAGAAGGAGGAGGAGGAGGAGGAGGAGGAGGAGGAGGAGGAGGAGGAGGAGGAGGAGGAGGAGGAGGAGGAGGAGGAGGAGGAGGAGGGAGGGGGGAGGGGGGAGAAGGTGGGGGGAGGAGGAAGGGGGGAGGATGGGGAAGCATCAGGCGGAGCACGGGGGGAAATGGGGGAACATGGGGGAAACATGGGGGCCACATGAAGTGGCCCTGGAGGAGGCATTGGGAGAACATGGAGGAACATGGGGAGACCATGGCTGAACATGGGGAGAACATGGTTGAACATGGGGAGGACATGGTTGAACATGGGGAGAACATGGTTGAACATGGGCGAGCGTGGGGAACCGGGAACATGGAGGAACATGGGGGGAACATATGGGGAACATTGGGGGAGGTGGGGAAGGGACATCCCTTTCAATCTCCCGCCTTTTCCATAAAAGCCTCACCTCTCCATTCTCTCTCGCTATAATCACCACCCAGTGACTGCACAGCAGAGGAAACAGCCGTCCTGCCACGTCAGCAACCCACTGAGGAGGTCCGGCCGGCGCATCCAATGGGATCGACGCCACGAAAACACGATCCGGCTGCTGCGGCGTTGACTGCGTTGACCCGTTGAATTGCATATTCGCTGCAGGTCTTCGGGCTGAAGATCCCGAAAATCCTCATACAAATCTTCAGGTGGGTGTTCAGGCGATCCTTCTGCTGATTTCACCCGTACAAAACTACGTCGAGAGGGATGCCACCTGTACAAAGCTAGAGAGGACAATGTCGAAGACGACGGTCCGTCAATAGCTAGCCGGTTAACGGGAATTAGGTAACTCGTAGACCGTCGGAGTGACGGAGAGCCGATAGCGGTGTCATGTACAGCGGAAGTATCGCCGTTGGGAACGCATTTTGCGGCTCGCGAGTGGCTCGATAAGCGTGGAGCCGCACTAACGGTTCGCTTGAAACGAGATTGGGGATCGAAGGAAATGGGACGCGAAACGGACGAGAGAAATAGATTGTGGGATGTGCTTATAACGGGGTCATTACTGGCCTGAAAGCTACTGACGAATTGCCCTCCTTGCCAGCCGTTCACGGCAATCGAAATGTGGGTGTTTGCGGTGCTGCGGTGAGGGAGAAAGGCGGGCAACTCGGCGCATGTGGCGGAGTTGACGGGGAGCGAAAGGCGGGGCATGGCGAGGCGATGATGGTGATGGTAATGGCAGTGGAGTGGGGGATATGGTTGATTGAGAAAAACATGCTTCGTATAAGCTCATGCTTTAGCAACTACGGTAATGGTTTTGTCCTCCTTACACATACGTGCAAGGAAACTTGAAAGCTTTCTAGTTTCCATAATTTATATCGGTAAAAAAGAATTACTTGCAGAGCAATGTGAATATCGATCGCTATGGTAACGATTTGGAGTCAGAATTGCAACTTGGACCTTTCGGCAGCACAAGGGATGTAAGGAATTTTCCCGAATTCCTTATCGGGGTTGACTGCTTCGCGTACAACCCGATTATCGGAGTTCGCACGTTCGGCCGATTTCAACGCTGCCGAGGCTCCTCACGTCGCCTTCGGCTTTCCCATCGCCAAACCTGCACCCAACCTCGCTCGTCCGAGGTTTCCTCCTAGCTAGAGTAGTCCTACATTAGTCTGTGCATTCATTGTATGCGTAGTTGATTCAGTCACAGCTTCGTTATTCGTTTACTTGCACACTCTCTTTTACAACTCATAAGAAGGGACCACTAGTGACAACCCTGGACAACGCAGACAAAAGGTTTGGATGCAGGGAAGATTTGGCAGGATTGTAACTCAACTCGTTTGAATTATACAAGCTCGCAAATGACCCACTAATTCTGGATGACGTGGAAATTCAAGGACTCTTTGAGTCATCAGCCTTTTTCCTGTTATTGGCTATCAATGCTGTGCGTTTCACAGCCACCAGAATTGTAATCCTCTGTAGCTAGCAGAAAGAAAATTCGCCAGCGGACAGTTACACTGACGACAGAGTCAGCCACGGATGCTTGTTTCTGTCAATGAGACTTCTTGTCTGCGTCCCATAGATTCCGCGTGAATCTCCAATTGAGTTGGTCTGCTTGGCTGGTTGGTCCCTTTCGGTTCAGCTGTGCAAATGGGCAGGACTTGTCCCTTTCGATTTGATTCGCACTCAGCCCACATCATTGGATGAAGCCCAATCCCCGCAGCGCAGCCCGCCTCTTCCGTCAACCGCACACCCATGTTGATTTGCTTGGCTCAGCGCGCTTCGTTCGCAATCGCAAAGTTTCTCGAGTCGCTGGTCCCCTTGTGACGTCTCTCATTTCAACCACATCCATGTTGTCGCCCTTCAGGTTACCGACACAGCTTGGCCTCGTCTACCTCGCGTCATCTCGCATTTTTCGAGCCTCGGATCGCCACCAATCTCCAATTTCCACCTGCTGGGCGACGTCAGGTAGCTTCTGTACGCTTAACTTCGTTTCGTCACGGTGCAAAACGGTCAGCCTTGAGAACCGCTTCCCACCCTGTGAAAATGTTGTGAACCACGATAAAAGATGTGCAATGAATGTACAGCCTCACGTCGCCCAGGCTCGACAATCCACTACATGTACAGCACCACGCCCCTTTTCCTCGACCTCTTTGCCCACCAATTCAACGTTTTCCTCTTGTCAACAACACATGCTACGCGTCTGTTGCTGAACTTTTCACGTCGCTCTTTCCCATCCCACCCATCCCATCCCATCCTCCACGACTTCGATCGACCCACGTTAACTCAAGCAACCATGAGATAAATGTCGCTTCACACCTACGCACAAATTTCCATCTCGTTTCCCAACGCTCCCCTTTGCTTGACGCACTGGAGCAAGTTAGCTTCTCACGTCGAAGCTAGTATCTTTCTCTACAGCCTGTAGACTGATTGGACCGTCAAGTACCTTTTCTTCCATTCCGGGGCAACGCGGCGTCGTCCAGGTGCTTATTTCGATCCCTTGAGTGTTCCGAATGGCGATGGCGATGTCTCGATGGGGCCTCGATAAGCTCCTCCGCTCGCGAAGCAGCGACAAGCTCGTCTCGCTCCTTCTCCCCGACGGCAGCATGGAGATGTTCGGCGGGGGAAAGACCGTCGCGGATATCATGGCGGAATATCCGGACCACCATGTCGGCAGTATCACTTCCTCACGCCCGTGTCTCGCGCCGGAAAAGTCGCTTCACCCTGGCAGCACGTACTATCTTGAGCCTAAGCAGCCACCGTTGAAAGGAGCCAAGTCTCTCCCTTCCAACAACGAGGGTTTCAAAGGATTTCGACTTGACAGCGATCGCAATGATAGGCCCGCACCGCGCCGTGCTCGCAAGGAGACGAGGAAAGACGAACGGAAAGGGGAAGCTTTTACTGAAAATGGACAGGCGTCGGGCTTCATTCCGCGCCGCATGTCGCTCGATACCGGAGCGCTCTTCAGCCGCCAACAAAGCGCCGATGCCGCTGCCCTTGCCGCCGCGGTCGCTGCTTCTTCTGCCATGCGTCATTCCGACTACGTTTTCAATGCCACGTCGGACGACGACGACGAGGAGGAGACGATCTCGCCGTTTCAGGCTACCAACCGTGTCGCGTCGCGACGCGCGTCCCTCTCCGACGCGGCATCCGCTAGATCCGCCGCCGCGTCGCTGGCCGAAGCGCGCCAGCTCTGGCAAGATGAGACGACCATGCGCCGTCACTCCCAGCCGATGCGCGTAAACTCACTCAATAGTCTTATAAGTATTCATGGCGATCATGGCGGTGCGTTCAACGGCTACGGCGCCGAAGCAGGCCAGCTGAGTCCAGTCCCCCAGTTTGAGCGCCAGCTGTCGTGCGGCCGCTCCTGCGGAGGCTGCACGAGCGGGGCTGGAAGCATGCGCTCGTCCCGCTGCCCCTCGCCGGCTCCGCCAGTCCGATCCGCTTCCGCCGCCGCTTTCCCCGACTTCGAGGGCGGCGACATCGCCAGAGGCTGCGCCCTGGATTCCGCCGATGGCGCAACCGGCGGAAGGAGCAAGCGGCGCGCGCTGCACCGCGGCGCAGGCAGTGCGCAAGATGGATCTGCACGGTCCGCTTTTCCGGATTATGACGCTTCGGCGGCGGCGGCGGCATGTGGGCTCGTCCCGTCACCGTCGCCGCCTCCGCCGGGGTTGGCGCAATGGCAGCAGCAGCAGTCCTTTTCAAGATCTGCCACCTACAGCCGCAGCGATTCCCGCGAAATCGACTTCCAGCGCGACCCGCGGCCTGCGCCGCGCGCGCGGTGCCCCTCCGCGCCGTCGACGCCCGTCCGCCGAACGAGTCTGGACCGCCGCGCAATGAGGGCGGGGCTTCCGCACCCCGCGGACGCGTCCGTCGCCGTGGCGTCGCTCCGCGTCCGGAGCCCAACGGCAGGTGCTCGGAGCCTGTTCACAGCGATCGACTCGGACTGCGAAAGCCAATGCGACGATGGGGAGATCGCTGACGAGGAGGGGAGCGTGAAGTCGGGTTGCTCGTTGCCTTCGCCACAGGATGCGGCAGCGGCGGAAGAGAGGCGGAGGGAGAGAGAGAAGCGGGAATGGATGATGATGCAGCGGCAGATGATGCGTCAGGAGCACATGCAGCACCAGCAGCAGCGGCAGCAGCAGCGGCAGCAGCAGCGGCAGCAGCAGCAGCAGCAGATGCAGTATCATCAGATGCAGCTGCAGATGTTTCCCCAGCAAAGAGCGTCCTCTCCTAGACTCCACCAGCAGTACCACAACCAGCAGCAGCAACAACCCCGTCTTTCCCGCCGGCTTGCCAACTCAGCATCCGGTCGGTCAGCTGGGCTACCACCACGTGCCGTCTCGCCACTTCCTCCGATCCCCGCAAACCACGTGTCGCCTCCCAACTCGTGTGATTTCCTGTGCAGCCCTGGGGCTGCACCAGGCTCGCTAAAGAGCAGCGAGATGACAAGGGATGGAGGTCTTATTACAGAGGAGTCAAGAAGCCAATCTTGTGCATCGCTCAGCAACTTGAGTGCGGAGTTTGTTGTGCCACCGCAGTCGTCTGGCATGTCTTCTTGGGGTTCTTATCCCAACTTAGAGTCCTTTGGGGAATCCTTGTCACCTGAAGGCTCCTCCTTGGCAGCCAACTCCCCTAGACAGCAGATTTAATTTTGCTTGATAGCAGAGTCTTCTGTATTGTTTGTGCCTTACCATGTACGGTGCCTTCAATTGAATTATAATTTATAATAGCAACATAACGCTTTCTAAGCGATGAAGTGTTCACCATGTAAAACTCTAATTTCTTCACTCTGGACTTATCATCAAGCTGGTTTAGTTACATTTTCTTTTAATTGGAATGGCTTATGTGTAGATTCAATCAGTTCAAAGGCCTTGGTGTATTCTGGTTCTTGAGATGGAAGGTCTGATTCGCGTATAAGCTGCCGCCAATCACAACCCCCGCGCATGGATTTTTCCTCCTCGAAATTGCCACTCCGGATTCGCTGCACGAACTCCCCGGAAACTTGGAGCCTCCCCATTCGCTGTGCCGCACGCGCGGAAATTCGCGCGGTAGCTCTGTGTAGCGGGAGGATCCTAAACTGGGGATTAGCGGAAGCGGTGTGAACAGGCGGAATTTTCAAGGTTTGCTAAGGGGTGTTTGTCAGCAGGCAAATGA